CGTCCACTAATTCCCCTCGCCCAATGTCGTCCCCTCACCCGCCCACCAATCGTCCACTTTCCTCCCTTCGCCCACCCATCTATCGCCACTTTTTCCTCTCGCCCCGCCCACCTGTCGCCCACTTTTCTCTCCCCTCGCCCGCCCATCTATCGCACTTTTCTCTCTCCTCGCCCGCCCATGTCGCCCTCTTTTCCTCTCTCCTCGCCCGCCCATCTTATCGCCCTCTTTTCTCTCTCATCGCCCGCCCACCTTCTCTGCTCCCCTCGCCCACCATCTATCGCCCACTTTTTTCCCTCGCCCGCCCATCTATCGCCCTCTTTCCTCCCCTCGCCCGCCCACCTTCCACCCCATCTGCTCCCTTTAAGGCTCAATCTGTCGTTATCACTCGCTCGGGGGCGCCGCTTGTCACATCTGCTTGGGTATGCGCGTGTGTGGGTGTCAGTGTGTGTGGTGGTGGTGGTGGTGGGGGGGGGGGTCTGTGTGAGTGTGTGTAGTGTGTGTAGTGTCTGTGTGTGTGTGTGTGTGTGAGTGTGTGTGTGTGTGTGTGTGTGTGTGTGTGTGTGTGTGTGTGTGTGTGTGTGTGTGTGTGTGTTGTGTGTGTGTGTGTGTGTGTGTGTGTGTCTGTGTGTGTGTGTGTGTGTGTGTGTGTGTGTGTGTGTGTGTGTGTGTGTGTGTGTGTGTGTGTGTGTGTGTGTGTGTGTGTGTGTGTGTGTGTGTGTGTGTGTGTGTGTGTGTGAGGGGGGGACGTGCGTGTGTTTGTGCAAGCAATGGCTTTACTGTGAGGACAGAAAAAAAAACAAACAAACAAACAACAAACACGTAATCATACGTCTCCACGATACACTTTCCATAACCCTCACACCCCTCTACCTTTAGCGCACCTCCCCCACCCTCTTCCCCTCTTCCCCTCCTCCCCCCCCTCCCCCCCCCCTCCCTTCCCCCCCCTTGCACGCTAGCTCCGTCCTTTCGCCCAGTGATCATTAGGTCGCATGTCTACTGCAAATACAATAGAATTACGACCTTACTATCCGGCATTCTTTATCCTTATCCTTGGCGCTTAAAGTATTTCAAAATATAAAGAGAATAACAGAAAACAAAATACGAAAATGAATAAATAAAAAGACATGAGTTCACGTCCATAGTACACTAACGGCGTATCATATTTAATGTCACATAAAGTAACATAATGCAGAAATAACCAATGCTAATGAGGTAACCCATGGTTCTTAATTGGCCAAATGATCATATATCAATATCATTAAAATAATAATAACAATAATGTTAACAATAGTATTAGTAGTAGTTGTAACAGTAGTAGTAGTAGTAGTAGTAGTAGTAGTAGTAGTAGTAGTAGTAGTAGTAGTAGTAGTAGTAGTAGTAGTAGTAGTAGTAGTAGTATAGTAGTAGTAGTAGTAGTAGTAGTAGTAGTAGTAGTAGTATAGTAGTCAGTAGTAGTAGTTGTAGTAAGTAGTAGTAGTAAGTAGTAGTAGTAGTAGTAGTAGTAGTAGTAGTAGTAGTAGTAGCAGTAGTAGTAGTACAGTAGTAGTAGTAGTAATATCAGTAGTGTTGCTGTTGTAACAGTAGAAGTAGTAGTAGTTGTAACAGCAGCAACAGTAGTAGTGGTAGTAGTAGGAGTAGTTGTTGTAACAGCAGTAGCAGCAGCAGCAACAACAGTATTAGTATTAGTAGTAGTAACAGTAATAATAGTAGTAGTAACTTTAATAATAGTAGTAGCAACAGTATTAGTAGTAGTAATAACAGTAATAGTAGTAGTAGTAACAGTAAAAGTAGTAGTAGTAGTAATAGTAACAGTAGTTGTAATAGGAGTTGTAATAACAGTAGTAATATTAGCTGTAGTAATAGTAGTAGTAGTAATAGTAGTAGTAGTAATAGTAGTAGTAGTAAAAGTAGCAGCAGTAGTAGCTGCAGCAGTCATAGTCATAGTAGACGTAGTCGCCGTCGCCGCAGTAGTGAAAACAAAAATCAACCTTCCCACCCTAATGCACAAAGGCCACCCAAAAAAAAAGAGGACGCAAGGCAAGTCAACCAGCAGGACCCTAATTCCAGACACACTGGCATTAAGGGGGGGGGGGGGGGGGGGGGGGAGGCGGCACGCACACAAAAACGCTACGAGTTTTCTACGTCTGTGTATGAAGTTTGTGTCCGGGTTTTCAGGGCATAATGTGCATATATTGTAACTTGTTTTCCTGTTGAATTGTTCATCTATTTTTTGTGTAAAGCGCGTCGTGTATTATCATTTTTAGTGCCATTATCATCATCAGTACCATCGCCATCATAATGATTATCATTACTGTTATTATCAATGTTATCATTATCATTACTATTATTTTTTTTTTTTTAAGTTGACACCACTGGCCCGTGTAATTAACATGGTACGTGAAATTCCGCTTAACAAATACCTACAGGCTCGTCAGGAATTCCAAATGTAATATATATATAATATATACATACACACACACACACACACACACACACACAC